GTAAGTTTGTTCAGGTTTTAGTTTATATATATATATATATATATATATATATATATATACTTATAACATAATTTATGAACAACTAATTAATTTTTTTTATTTAATTTCAGGTTCACAAAACTTGAGGCTGCCAGGGCAATTACATTGGCGTTTAAATCATCAATGGAGATTCCATTATTTCAATAGAGTCAGGTCTCTAAACATCCTGAGTGGAAACTTAATATCGATGCCTGATTTCAGCGATTTTAGTTAGGTGTTAATTTTAAATTTCCAGTTTATTTTTAATAAATAGTTTTTGAAATTTTATATCTTGTACGATTTTTATTTTCAATGAATTATTTATATACACAGAATAAATTTGAGTGGGATAGTGTGGACAATAATGTTATATGGAGGGTATGAGAGAATCACGCAGCAACTGGGTAACATCAAAAATAATATTTATTTTTAATTTTTAATTTTATGTTCTAAATTCTAATAGGTTACTATGCAAGTAGGCTGCGTGATTTTTGGTATAACACCCAAAAAAAGACGAAAAAATATGCGAGGGATAACGATATTGAAGGATGGAATGAGGTGGTGGTTTGGTGGGAATTCAAACTGTCATTCATATCGGGAGATATATAGGCAGCATATATTGAGCACGTGATGTCTGAGTGGTTCTCATGACGCTCACAATCTGGAGCTGTCAACTGGAACTAGCAAATTCATGATTCAGTGACCACACACACCGGCGACTTCGTCCCGTTCAGTGCACATGCGAATGGATGGTAAGATTAATTTAGATGAAATATATCATTAATTAATTTGTTGTTGCTTATAAATATATTTAACTTGCAATATTTTTTTTTTCCTTACAGGCTACATCTCTTGGATGCGAGTCAAGTCCAATGGAGCTATTTACAGAGATGCATATTCGGAGTCAAGACCGTAAAAAAGAGGTGCAGTAATATGTGGACAGTCGTGCTTAGCATTTTGTGGTATGTTCGGTCAATCATTTTATTTTGTAAGTTATTATTTTTTTGAATTGAATATGATGACTTTTTTTAAAAAAATTTCAGGAGATGTATAATAACCGGTTCAGGGAGAGATATAGGGATGATCCTTCGACCCATCCAGATTTCGATTCGAATTTGTGGATGGAGGATGGATCGTCTGGTGGACTCAATAAAAATTGGGTTTACGGCCAAAAACTTACGATCAACCTGTAGTATCTCTCCATTAGTATCAAGCATCCAGTTAGAGGAGTTCTTAGCCTTGAAACAACAATATGAATGCCTCTCAACGGATTATGCTCAGCTCCATCAAATGGTCATGGAGATTAGATCAAAGAAGGGCGATGATCCATGTGCTGCTCCTTTTTGGCCATACGGTTCCGGCAACAACTAGCCTCCTCCTCCTCCAGCTCCGCCGCTAGTTTAATTAGTTTAATTTTGTTTTTTTAAAACATTTAATTTGTAATGAATATTTTGATGAATATTATTTAATATTATTTTACATTTTTAATGTTTAATACAAATTTATTTGGTTATTAACTTTTTTTACTGTTAATAAATATTTTTTTAAAATATTTGAAATAAATACTAACGGTATTACTGAGGGAACATGGCCATTGGTATTTTACTGAGAGTTGGAAAACATTTACAGGCCGTGCCACAAAGTTGGTAATATTTACTACCCATGCCATATTCACCAATGGCTAGTCCATTGGTAATTACCATTTAAAATATAGACAAAATAATTCCGTCGGTATATTTCTCGTAGGAATTGTTTTTGGCTCACTGAGTTGTCTATAATACCGTTGGTGTTTCATCGATGGTTGATTTTTTGAAATTTAGACAGAATGAGAGATGAAAATAGAAATTAATGATGATAACGCCTCTGACGGACGTATTCCGTCGATGATGCCATCGGTAAAATTTTTACCAACGGGTTTAGTTCATCTCACCGACAGAATTAATCCATTGGTAAAACTGCTTAATGGTGTAGTGATTTTTGATCCAATTTAAACTCTAAATTTGGTCCAAACCCAAATTAACTAACCTAGGTATTTAGAAAAATTTGCTAAGAGCATTATTCTCTCTTTTCCTCAATTTCTTCCCCATAAAATGACTTTCCACTCCTGATTTCAGTTTTGAATTTAATTATTTGATTTAAGAAAAGAAAGGTGAAGAAACAAGTAGATTATTTTTACTTTTTTTTGTTATTTTCAATTAAGGATCGAACATGGAAGGTTTTAAGATATGTTTAGGGTTTTTATATTGTTTGAATGATAAAATGATTTAAACGATCGGATTGAATTGATGTTTTCAAGAGTTAGTTGGCCTTAAACAAACTGAATTGATATTTGGGATTATGGTTTGTTGAAGAACAAATTGTGTTATTGTGAAATATGTAGATTTGAAGATTGATAGATCGAGATTTTGAAAATCTTGATCAACTAGTTAACTGATTTGTCAAACCAATCACCCAGTTGGCTAGTTCTTGCTAGTCGACCAATTGCTTTATGCTGTCGGTCAATCAGTTGGTTGAAACTAGCTGACCAGTTGGCCTATGATTGTGGTTGATTGGTTGACTTAGTAATAGAGTTTTATCGAGTATGTTAGGTTCGATCAGTTTGAGTTAAGTTCGGGATCGATTGGGTGAAATAGTTCAACTTTATATTTACGTTTTGGTCTTTAAGCTTAGAGTTTTGAATCTCGTATTATACTTTGCTTCAAGTCATTTTTTAGTGTTTTTCATATCCATTATAAATTCTACTGATATTCCTTCTAACGAACTTCAGTGATATCTGGTTTTGCATATATTTGTCTTTTGCTTTTGTTTTTTGAGTGAATAAGGTAATCTTTAATATGCATGTAATATAAATAATATATGCATGTTGGTTATATAATGAGTACAATTTATTAATTCTTGAATATTTATATATGTTGTTTTATTATCTGAATACTCATCTATTCTTGAATTTTACACTTATATTATGTTGAATTAAATTATATTTGATTTGATATACATTGTTTTAATAAATATTACGAGTATGCATTATATCTTGATAATGATATACTTATTAGTAACTTTATTCTAATAGAGAGTAGTTAGTTTATATGCACTTAGTATTCTATATACTTAGTTGGTGAGAGAGTCAACCGCATATGACAACTAATCCTTCTATAATGATCACCTTTGTGTGTTATTTAATTATCTTCGGGTGTCATTTGATTTCTGACATGCAAACTATTAATATGCTTGGTAAGTATATTTATATCAAGATATATCGACTTGCAAACTATTAACATATAATATGTATGTTAAATATTTTCCCGTATTAAGTTAGTTAAACTCATCCCTTTATTTTTTTTAATATTATTTCAAGTTCTTAATTTTTGTTAGAAAATGGACTTCGTTGAATGTTTTTACTTCTTAAGTTTTGGTTAGTATATCTTGCTTATTCCGCAAAACTTTTCTTTTAGTTTTTAATTCAATGTATAGACGCTTCATTATTATATTATTTCAATTAAATTTGATTTTGATAATATAATAAATATTATGAATTATTTGTTTTGATTTTTTTAATGACGAGAATTATTTTGAAGTGTTATTTAATTTTAATGGTTTTGAAAAATATAATATTTTAAAGGATATTTAAATGTTGTGAAATATTTATATAATTTGTTTTGTAATATACATGTTTTGAGATTTAGCATAAATTAATTGTCCTTACAACGCTGTTCTTGCATTACCCGCCATATACCCGGGATTTAGATTGTGATCACGGTGTCAATTCCCCTCGCATGCTTCTCCATCTGGCCATTCTTAAGAAAAATATTATGTCTAGTCGTTAATATGAAGAGGAACGAAGACGGCCGAGTCTTTTAGTGGCAAAAACATTTGATAATGAAGGTGCTGATGGAAGAAAAACTGAAATGGGTTTAATTTAAAGCTCATGATATGGTTTGTAACACATCCTTAAGATTACCTGCAGAAATGAAAAGCTCCATCTAGATTTCCAGATGTCCGAGACGTGTAAATTACCCCTTAACTATATTTTACAGCCCACATTGTTTCTGTATTTCGCAGATTTGTCAAGCTATATTCCATCTAATTATTGCTTTTCTTGCCTTTTAAGATCCAAATTATCAGCAAGCAATGTTTTCACTGCAAGTAGTCGAAATCATAGGAGTGTTTTTTGTTCCGAAAATCAGAATATCTATGTTCATTCAATTTCCCTTAAGATGTACGTGTTGGCTATTCTTCATCGTTCTCATTCTATTCATTCAATTTAAAACAGATGCTCCTAGATGCACGTAAAAAAGGGGCTCTTTTTGAGTCAACACTTGCGAAATGATGAGTCATACAATCACTCTATTGTGGATCCTATATATAATTAGTGTGAGCGGATTCACGATCAGCCAGACTTATCTAATATCTTGTTTTTTTTGTTAATGGAATCCAATCCTGTGGAAAAAGGATTACGACCGTGGTTATAGTGGAGACCTCCCTGTCAGAATTTATCTTAAGCCATGGAAAATGCTAATTATAGGAGGGAATAGATTAAAAGTGAGTTAACCAGAAACAAAGTCTTTGCCCCTGTTTTTGCTAAACAGAGAAAGCTAATTACTAGTTGGAAGCAAGACGCTGACAGCTAGACTAGCTAACAATTTCAAAATCCAATGGTTCTGCTGCTAAAGTTCACAGAAAAAGCTAACAATGCTGTTACCAGAAGAACTCAATTCCTATATAGTTAACGGATACGTAAATACCAATTTCATTGTGAGATAGAATCATCTTACCTCCAACAAGGTACCTAAAAAGAAACTTTGAATTTGTATAGATTACATAAATACACAACAGGGTTTGCAAATTAGCAGGAGGAGAGGAAGGAAATGAGTGTTTTCTCGTGTTTTAGATTGAAAAAGAAGAGTTCTTTTAAGGGAAGTAGATCATCATGGACCAACAAGGGATTTGGCAAACAAGGCAAAACATTATCTTTCATAAGAAACATGTCTCGTATAATAGGTGAGGTGTGTCCATGGAAGAAATTTCAATTTTGTTATTTTGGTAATGGATAATTGCCAATGATTTTGGTCATGTCATCAATGTTGCAGACAGAAGCAAAAGAAGGAACATTTCTCAAGTTTTCACTTTTCGCGAACTAGCTGTTGCAACCAAAAAATTCAATCCTCATTGCCTGGTGGGTGAAGGTGGATTTGGAAGGGTGTACAAAGGATACATTGAGAGCATCGATCAAGTCAGACATATATTTTAAGAACATGCAAACCTATATATTATCCTAGATCATATTGTAATGCAATTGCTTTGTTTCGTTCCTTGTTTTTTTTTTTTTTCCAGATTATTGCTGTTAAGCAGCTCGACAGGAATGGATTGCAAGGAAACAGAGAATTCTTTTCTGAGGTCCTTACATTAAGTTTGGTTCAACACTCCAATCTTGTCAAACTGATTGGCTACTGCGCTGATGGTGATCAACGACTCCTAGTTTATGAATTCATGGCCAGTGGATCTTTGGAAAATCACCTTCTTGGTATGCCCATATAATTTATTTTTTTAATCCTAGGCAAGAAGTTCTGTATACATGTCAGGTCGCAGTTCAAGCACGGGCTTGATTTAGCCTTAGGTCCAAAGGTTTTCCATCTGCGTAGTCTCTATAAGGATTTTGTGCTTTGTGTGCAAATATTTTCTGCTTTCCAGATTTACGTCCAGGAAAAGAGCCTTTGGACTGGACAACTAGGATGAAAATAGCATCAGGAGCAGCAAAAGGGCTGGAGTATTTGCATGATGTTGCCGATCCTCAAATCATCTATAGGGATTTCAAAGCTTCAAATATTTTATTAGATGAAGATTTCAATCCGAAGCTGTCTGATTTTGGACTTGCCAAGTTGGGTCCAACAGGAGGAAAAGAACATGTGTCTACCAGGGTGATGGGTACATATGGCTACTGTGCTCCTGAATATCAAATGACAGGTCAGCTGACAAAAATGTCTGATGTGTACAGTTTCGGTGTTGTTTTTCTGGAGATAATTTCAGGAAGGAGAGTTATTGACATGTCAAGACCAACTGAAGAGCAGAACCTAATTCATTGGGTATGTTGATGATTTTCTTTCCCAGTTAACTTGTTAGGATTATACCTTTCATTTCTGGCAAGGTTATAGCATAGAGCATAAGCTGCAAACATTGAGGTTCAAAAACTGATTGGAAATGCAGACCATGACACTTATTCTCATTTTCATATTGCAGGCAGCGCCGCTATTCAAGGACAGAAGTCAATTTACAGCAATTGCAGATCCATTGCTTGGAGGAAAATATCCAAAAAAGAGTCTATATCAAGCTCTTGCAATTGCAGCCATGTGTATCCAAGAGGAAGCTGATAGACGACCTTTGATCGCTGATGTTGTAATGGCACTTGAGTATCTTGCCATGCCAATTGATGAGAAAAAAGCTACAATGACATCAACCGAAAGCATCCACCATGTTGACTCTGTGAAAGGAGGAAATGCAAGGGAGGAGCTGGGAGTTTAGTAGATGTCCTGCATAAACCAAAAGCTACTTATAGGACTTCAATATTGTGGTGTTTGATGCATTTTTATATGATCCTAAACATTGATACTGTATTTCTTTTGGTGTTAATTTTGAAGTTTTGTGAAGAGTCCTTTTAGGTCTTCTAGGTGCAGGTGTGCCATATATTACTGATGTGATTATCTTCAAGTCTTAGACTAGTATAAGTATTTCATGAAAGAGTTGTATTCTAAGTCTGTAAGTCCATGGGACTACCACGATATAAGAGAGATGTATTCCACCATGATTCCCTCCTCTTACCAATTTTTCCTAACAATTTCACAAATGCGTATGCGTAAATGGACTGTTTTTGCTGCAGGTAAAAAAGAGCAAGCCATGGAATTGCAGGAGTTTACGTTTAATTTACAATAGCAATGTTTGCTATTCTTTATCAGTCTAATTCAATTAAAAACTACATGCTCCGATTTCTTCTATGCAAAAACAACAACAAACCTTAACTCTACATAGAATACTCTTCACACCACAATTAATTTTGAGCCAGCATTCCATTTGCAGTCCTTCTCAATATTTTAATCCGAACTTTTAAATTACAAGCTTTAGGGTTTAGGGTTTGGGATTTCAGGTTTTGGTTTGGGGTTTAGAATTTAGAGTTTTTGGGTTAGGGGTTAGTGGTTAGGGTTTAGGATTTTGGGTTTTCGGTTTCGGGTTATGGGGTTTGGGGTTTGGGTTATGGGATTAGGAGTTCGGGTTTAGGGGTTTGGGTTTGGGGTTTGGGGTT